GAGAAGCCTTTGAAAAGCAAACCTGCGCTACGGGTGCTACGGGATTTATAATTTCAAATTCGGCCAGCAGCTCTTGGAACTGGTTGAGGAAGGCAATGTGTTCCCCTGCTGCTGGAGGTCCTGTGTTTGGTCTTTGAATTCAGCACGCCTCTGAGGTCAGGCGGGCGCGCTTTTGACACCTTGCAGGTCGCCGATGTGCATTGCCTTGCACTTGTCATACTGTTCTGCAAGTAAATGCAGGAACGCTTTTTCTTGTGCTGATCCAAAGGCAATATAGCGCCAAACAGGAGACACCCCTGTCGGACAGGGTCCTTAGTTGTCACATAGCTTCGGCCTAACAATGCACACGCTTGGTTGTGGGAGTACATACTCCCTGGGTTGCAACACTTCTGGCACTTTGAGCAATGCAAAATGATGGCCGCGATGTTCTCCACCAAATCAAAGGTGAAAAAATGCTCTTTTGCGCTTTTGTTGGCCAACTCAAGGGCCAACGTTGTTCTGATTGCCTCCAAGTCATGCTCAGCTTCATTGCTTGGGGCGGCTTGTTGGCTACTGGTGGCTCTCGTCTTTTCGGCCAAGCCTTTGCCAACCCGCTGCATCTCAGCCGACACGACCCGAGCCTCCAAAGATTTCAAGTCGAAGCCTGAGCAAGAACCCCTCTTCTTGTTTCTTTTTGCAAGGGCATCAGCTTGTTTCACCTCCTCTGCAAGTTGTTTGGTCAACAGCCAGATTTCCCCACTCCCCATCCACTGCCAAGCTCGTTGAACATCCGTGCATCCATCGGCCTCCCAAATTCACCGCTGAAAGTTCACTTCTTTCATCCCCCTTCGTACTGACCGCTAACGTAGATCCCCAGGATTTTACGTATTAAAATCCTACTGATCCAAGGTGACTTTGTATTTTTTCATTGGTGCCCTAGGTCTTTTTCCCAAAAAGTGCTTTTTGTAAAATCCTTTGGACCGACGTGTGTTCAGGGGGTAGGGAACCAAGGAAAAAACAAGGAGTCCAAGCTGATCAAACGTTTAGTAAAATCCTGGGTATCTACCTAATACTCAAGCAGTGAGCGCATTTTTTGGCATTTTGGCATTTTTTGTGATTTTTCGATATCGTCGGATATCGTCCCATATCGTCGCATTCATTTTCTCGAAAATCAAAGAAAATCATCCCCGAAGACTAAATTTAGTCTATTTTGGCACTTTTTCGTTATTTTTCGATATCGTCGGATATCGTTGTTTGACTCTGGTGTTTGCAAAGACATGGCCCGAATTCTCTGTCAGCTACCACTCCAAAAAATGCGACTGTACCATTGTTTACATTTAAAAACAAATGGTTACAGGGCCCCATACGCAAGCCATCATTTGATTAAATTGATTGCAATCTTATGTTGTATATACAGCATGTGTATCTATCAGCCGAGCAGATAAATGCTGCAAAAAGCAAATGCACAAGCACAGCCACAGCAAAAAGCGTCCTCTCCAGTATCTCTAGAATATCTAAAGTCTTAGCACAACCCCAGCATCTCTACCTTGTGAAATCCTACAATTTTAGTGAAATCCTGTAGTCCTACGTGTTTTTGGAATCCTGGCGCCCTACCCTAAGCAAAAGGATTTCAAAACAGCCCCATTTCTTGTTGTTTTTTCCTGGGTCCTACTTGACTTCCTTATCAGCGAACTTTTTCGCTAGTTTTTTTATTTCTGAAATAGTCACGTCTACGTCTAGGATTTCAGTATGGCACAACCAAGGGGGATCTTCTTTCTCCGCTGAAAAGTTCTGGACTCAAGATTCAAGATTTCAGGCAACCTTGAATCTTGAATCCTGGGGCTTGGATTCAAGAACTCTTTCCTGCAATCTTGAATCTTGAATCCCGTTACAATGCGCTGCAATCGGATTCCGTCACCAAAGTGCTCTAAGTATTTCTATGTCAGTGCGGCACAAGGTTCAGGTGTGTTTACATCACCTGTATGTATATAAGGTTATATATATATATACCTTTTCGATAAAATAACTACACCAGCATAGACCCAGATAGCTAGGCAGAATCCCACGACCTGTTGACACGCGACTGGCTGGAACAAGAATGTACGCAGCCTGCGCAGCCAGCTTACGACACCTCGCACAATCAGCTGACACCAGCGCCCGACCAGCGCCGCCGCCCGTCTTAAACGCGCGCTCAGCCAGCTCACAGCACCAGCACCCAGGACCACAACACCAGCACCAGCACCGACACCCTTTTGAAAGCGCGCGCAGCCAGCTCATTCTCATTTGCAGCAAGAACCCCATAGCTATCCCTACTTGGGGAACACAACGTATGATCTTGCGCGTAAAAGTCTGTGCGCACAAAAGTACGCGCGCAAACAGCAAAGCCCGTAAGTGTCATTGGCCCAAGGTCAGGCAGTATCCAGCGCCACGATTGACTTTGTAGCATGCTTGAAGCAACGACCTGCAGAACGATAAGGCCGTATGATCTTGCAAAAGTATGCGCACAATCGGCAAAGCCCGTAGGCTTCACTCGCCCAAGGCCAAGCAGTATCCAGCACGACTATTGTGTGTGTAGCATGATGAAACATGCTGGTACAATGGTCGGTTGAGAGCCTGACGCACAGAACATTATACGTACAAAAGTATGCGCGCAAACAGTACAGCCCTTGACACAGCTGTCGGCCAAAACAGAACCTGAAGGGTGTAAATACCCCACAGCGCTAATAAACAAAGAACGCTCAAGCGACAACACCGTATGATGTTTCGTGCATAAGTTCATGCGGCCCATGACTGCTTGCACTTCATTGTCAGAAGCGGCGCTTGGTCGCCCTTCACTGCTGCAAGCGGCGGTTTGTTACCCTTCACTGTCAGAAGCGGCGGTTGTTATCACTTCACTGTCAGAAGCGGGCACCAGCACCGAGCACCGGCGCGCCAGCTTACGGCGCCCAGCACCAGCACCCAGCACCGGTATAGCACCAAGCACAGCACCGGCGCCCAGTCACCACCACACACACTGCCAGCTCACAGCACCGGCACCGGCGCCCGCTGTCTCTACCATGCGCACTGCCAGCACCCAGCACCGGCACCGTGTCTCCACCACGCGCGCAGCCAGCTCACAGCACCCAGCACCAGCACCACAGCCCGCACCAGCACCCGGCACCGGCACCCAGCACCGGCACCCTGTTTCCACCGCCCACCAGCACCGGCAACCTGTCTCGAAAGCGCGCGCAGGCAGCTTCGCTATCTGGGCCACAAAGATCGCCACATTTATGCAAGCTACACCACCAGCACCGGCACGGGCATCCAGCACCAGCACCGGCACCCAGCACCGCCACCAGCACCAGCAACCTGTCTCCACCACGTGCACAGCCAACTCACAGCACCAGCACCAGCACCGGCACCCGGCACCACCACCAGCAACCTGTCTCCACCACGTGCACAGCCAGCTCACAGCTCCAGCACCGGCACCCAGCACCAGCAACCTGTCTCGAAAGCGCGCACGGGCAACTCACTATTATTTGAAGTAAGAACCCCATAGCTTCGCTATCTGGGGAAAAATCAAAAAAGAAAATGTAAAAAAGTTGTACAAGGTTATTTGGCCTCTTGGGGCCTTAGGGCCATTTACGCATGAATTTGTGATTCACTGCACAGCGGCAGACTGCGTCTACTTCTATCCGTGGGCCAACGGAGAGTCACCAACAATTAGTTCATTACGCAAAGATAACTACCAGGACCCCCAAGGGGTGGTTAATGGACACTCCTTAACAGCTAAGGGGCTATAAATAGACACCCCTTGGAGGGTCCTCGTATATGAGAACTGGTAGGACTTCCAGTTGCGGATGAGGGGTCATCCCGCGCCCTGGAGGAGGGCCTTCCTCTGCATCGGTCACAAACGTCGGCCGTGTTGAAACATGTTCTGTGTATGTTTTTGGCATGCCTGCAACTTGCTGAGGCTTGCTTCTCAAGTGGAACAAGAGATGCACGTGCTGGCCGCTGCTTGATGCAACTTCTTCATATCTCATTGCAATAGAGTCTATAGAGAAGGGCCTTTTAACATGCACCGGCTGCCGGTGACTGTCCGATTTGTTGGGGGGGGCAGCGCCAACACCTCCCAATGGAGTCTAGCAGGGTGACCTTGGCGCCAAGGCTCGATCCCGTTCGGGGACCGGCGGCAGGTCCGGCAAGTCCGTGCGCCCGCGCCGGAAGCCGCGCCAGAAGACGGGAAAGGCCCAGCAGAAGAGGAGCCTGGAAGAAGCTGAAGATGGTTGTTTCGTTGGTTTTGTTGGGCACCAGGCTGATGAGCTGATTTGTTGGGGGAGATTTGGGCGATTGGCCGTATGTGAGACTAGAGGTTGGCTTTTGTGGGGAGGTTGAATGTTTGAAACCATTTCCGGACAGTAGCACAGAGCGTGGCGAGCCGTTGCATTGCATGTAGATGTAGATGATGTACGACCGCGATTGCATAGCCGCGGATCTATATAATTCAGTCAAAGGGCAACGTCTGAATTCCCTTCTAAGACCCTCCAGAATGACCTAAATTGGACCAAATGTCCCAATTCCCTCACTTGCCAGGTGAGTTGACAGTTCATTGGACCCTAATAAAATCGGTGAAACCATGGGTGAAAACGGACTCCTGATGATACAACCACCAACCAAAAACCGTTCGAAATCGACACACCTCTCCGGATCCCTACCCTCCGGATCCCGGATCCGTTGGTTTTCGCCTGCTCAAACAGCAGGATCGATCTTCTGGAGACTCCACATCCTGCAGGTTCGCTTGAGCACTCAACATGTTTCTGGGGGAGCCTGATCCCCATTGATGACTTGGATTTTAAATTTGTAGTCCTCCGAAGAAAGCCCCAAACAGTGTTGCTTGGCGAAAGGTTCAAGGCACTCACTGACGCTGCGAAATCTGGTTGTTTCCCTCCACCCGGTGGCCAGGCCACCCGGTGCTATTTTTAAAGGGACCTCCCCACCCCCCGTGTGGTAGGGAAAATAGACCTGCAGTCTACCCATTGGCATCAGGGGGGGGCCCTAATTCTCCCTCTTCAAAAAACACATCCATCCGGCGGCTCATTCCTTCCACCCATCCACCCAATCCCAGCGCAGCCTCCCGCTGCAGCAGGGGCTGCTCCCGCGCGAACTCCACCCCATCGGCCGCCGCCATGGCACCACAGTCGGACCGGACGTGACCGGCGCGAGAGAGAGACCGGTGCTGTCTGAAGGCGTGGGAAGGCGGAAGGCGTGGCTCAACGGCGGAGTGGCGGAGACGGGGTGTGCCGTGGCTCCACAGCGCCAAAAGCGGAAGTGGAGAAAAGGTGAATGTGCGTTTCAGGGAGATTCACCTGAGATCACCTGAGATTCAGCTGCCCAAACGGAGACCTCCGCGTTTGGGCGGGAGGGCTTGGAAGTTGGAAGTTGAACAAAAAAATACGCAACTGGTCTGGCTTCTTGGCCACTCGATGTTTAAGCAATTGCTGGATGATTAGCTAATTGGGTCGATCTCAAATGTGGTTCATCATGGTTCCATGTCAGGTGTTTTTGCGGGCAAGATCTGGAATGGAGAGAGAGGGTTGTTGTCTTAAGCAAGCTGCCTGCAGCTGCCACCTGTTCATTTTGCTCAGCGGAGCATGACCTTGTGATTCCGTCATGACGACGCCCTCGCGATCGTCCAGCTGAGCCAAAGAGATCGTGCGCCCGCGCGGTTTCGCGCAACCCCTTTGGACGGTGTACAGGATGCACCAACAAGAAAACAAAGAGGAATCGCCCGCCAGTGTAGACCCCAAACAGGAAAAGACCACCGCGGAAAGCCACAGGCGGCATTGAAGCAGCTTGAGCCCTCGATGGCGAAGATGGTGATAGTGATGGCGAAGACTTGCTACATACCAAGGGCATCCAGGGGCCAGGGCCTGCCAGGGCCTTGGTTTCATGGCTCATATCTGCTCAGGATAGGTCAGCCGCATGACACCCTATCTCATTCTCAAGTGATTGAGCTCCACTGAAGTGGAGTCACCCCCCCGCCACATGGAGAGAACCTGTGACTCTCATTTTGTCTCGGGCCACCCCAAAAAGTCAGGATTCTGTACCACACTCACTCGCGAACAGTCTGACGGTTCGCCCCTCAAAGCCCTTCCACTAAGTGGGGTGCCCGAAGGTAAACAAGTTTACATATCGAAAATGTCAATGTGAGAAAGCCATGACCTATGTACAGAATGGACACAGGAAACTCGTCACTCACCATGAATTATGAATTATGAATTGGGCTCGCCGCTCAGTAATCAAACGAGACATGGTCAAGGGATTGTCCGTTGCGAAGGCATTTCTTGATACGCTGGTATAATCCTCCTCGATTTGCAAATGGAATATCATCATAAGGCGATTGAATCACAGATTCTGTTGGTACCAGCGGCATTGGAATGCGAACATGGTGCGGATAACTTTGGGTCGGCATGGACGAGTATTCTCTCAAAATCGCCAGGAATCTAGTTGCGTTTGGTATGACAGGCCGCGAGGCCACTCCCCCCACCAAGCTCTTATGGAAACCCAGACGTACCAGTGAAGAAGCTCCAGTTTTCTTATATTTGGGAATCAAGGGCGTAGGCAATGTATTGTCTAGATATCTTACAATTGCTCGTAGCGTATTTGCTTGATTCCAAAGGCTTTTGGCATCGTCTTTCTGAATGGCAACCTCTGGTGAATCAAATGCATATGGTGTCGGCAGACGATCCGTTTTATTGTAGATCCACACCGGAAGCGCCATCCCGGTATACAGCATAAAACTTATAGCCAGCTCATACCATGTAATGCCCCAGTCATCTTTAAGTGGCGGAAGATCGGGCGGATGCCATCTTTAAGTGATCAGGATTCTGTACCAACAAAGGTTAATGAGGTGGTCCTTCTCACCCCAAAATGAACAGAACATGCTCATCTCCTCAGCTACTTGCCCGCCCCTCCCTCGGTCCCAGAGTTGGCGTCGGGAGAAGGGGTCCACGCCACTGGAAGGCTCCTTAGGGCACACAGAGAGTCTGTCTCGGTCAGTCTAGCGGCCGGAGGAGGGTCTGAGATGAGTTTGGTCAGTCCAGCACCAACCAACACGCATGTAAACAGCTGGAGAAGTACCAACGATGTTGAAACTTCGAAAACACGTCTTGTCCAACTCGTCACGGTGCCACTAGTGACCCATGAATGTAGCGCATCATCTGCGAGGGACTTTCTCATTAAAGCAGCACAGGGAAGGCTCAAACCGTCACAGAAATCTTGCGTTCACTTGAAACTGGTTGTTGTCTGCTTATCTGACTTGTCATGCTCTATACGTACTACTGTGTCGCACAACATGCGGAGAACACATAGCAAACCACACCGACCAGTTCTTGCCACCCCCCGCCACCGCAGTCCCAGGCTCATCCAAGAAGACCTCAGGAAGATGGCTGGCCGCTCTGGCCATGGTGACCACTGGGAAGACGGGAAGTTTCCTCCCACCAAGTCATCTGACCAACAAAAAACGAAAAACCTCTTCATCCACTCATCCAACCCACCCTCACCCGGCACATCACTCGCCACACATGGCTGTGTCTTGGCGCTCAGGTGACCGGCCAGTTGACCATCTTAGACATACCTGGTGGGCGGGTCACAAGCTCCAGAACAGGACCCATCCCCATCATCACTGGACCATCCTCCAACATCACATCCAACATCATCCAACAGATCCATCCACCGACCCCCCGCAAGGGGCGGCGCGCGATCCGTCCACTGCGGCCACGTGGCGACCTGCGATCCGCCGATCAGCGCGACGGCGGCGGAGAGCCGCCGCTTCTGCCCGCCGCTCAAGGTGCCCGCCAGCGCGTCCCTTGGGGAGCGGAGGGAGCATGTAAGGGGGAGACACATCAAACTGGATGGAATGTTGGATTAGAATCCGAGGATGTCATGGGATCGTTTTGGGATGAAACAAAAACTTCAAAGGACTTCCCTGCCACTAGATGGCACGTCTAACAGCCCATCGCCATTGTTCCACTCTTTGTCTTTGCTCCACTCCTGCGGCACTGGGACCAGATGATGTGCCTCATCCAAGTTTGCCAGTTGTTGCTTTCGCCCCGGTTAGCCACAGCATGCCACAGCCGTGGGGCTGGAACCCTGATAGACCACCGAAAACGAGCAGAATAGTCTACAGGAGGCCAACCTGCCAGGGATTAGAGCCGATTCGGGCAACGCTCTTGCGGACAGAGTTCAGCTCCAGGTTTTGACCTGGAATGAATCATTGGACGATCCCCCCACACACGCACCTCTGATCTCCAAGTAGCTCCTTCTCTTGCAAGCTCACATCCGCGATCAAGGCGTTCACCTGTTTTTGCCAGGCTTTGGAGGTCGCTCGTCACATCCCATTCCGGCGCGCCAACGAAGACCATGGAGAAGCGCGCACGTGTATTCTCCCAGGGAAAACATCAAAGTCAAACAGGTCAAACGACGCGAACTTCTCAAAATCGTCGTTTGACCTCTTGGGAGTTCGCGTCGTTTGAGGAGATTGACTTTGAGTCGCTTTCCTCCTCAAACTTCTCTGGGTGGTTCTGTTTAAGAACCCACTTGTCACTGCTCGTGGGTGGGCAATGCGCCGCCGCTTTTTTTCATCGCACAGGGTGGGGTTTAGGTGGGACAAAACACTCGCAGGAGCACCTCTACTGATCAAAAGGGGGCTCCAAGTTATCACAAACGACCGATGGGTCACAGACATCTCCTTGCTGTAAGAGACTATAAACTGCTATGAAGTTCCTCAACTGCCTCAATCACAGTTTTGACATGAACGGCCTCAATCACCAAGGCCGTTGGTTCGTTGAGTGAAGACCTTCTATTTACGGAAAGAACTTGGGAACCAAACCATTTGCTTTGGAAAAAATGCACCAGATCCATTCGGCGTTTCCAAGGCTCGACCCGGCAAGTAGCCGCAAGCAGGAGCGAAGATGGGGCGTTCCGTTCAACATGTTCCATTTCAGCGGTGTCTATAAGCATCCAGAAATCTTCTTAAGGTTCATAATATTGCAAGCCCTATATTCATAGCTATATAAATCCTTTCATAGAGGCTTATGATGTTGCTCATGTCCATTTCAGTGCAATGCCTAGTCGTCTTGCCTACCTTCTGAGTTCACTCAAAAGTCTGGGCCCTGTCACATATGAACAAAGACCGAAAGAAATGATGGTGCTTTGTGTCCACAAGGAACAGGTCCTTATATAATTCGTCCACTTTCTGACAAATCACAAGCTGATCACACAGGGGCCCTTAGCAAATCACACGCACAGCCCTAGTAAACATCATGAAACATCTACCACAGTTCTCAGGAAGGGGCCGCCCTGCCCCCCTTCGGGCCGCCGTGTTGAACAGGTGGGTGGGCCGTTCCACGTGACTCTTCCGTGGGTCACCCAGAGTCGCCGTCCACCCCGCCACCCGTCATCCCCGCCTCAGCACCCACGGAGTTGGAAGGGATCCCCTTCCTGAGAGGATGAAACGAGTCGCACCGCGTGTTCCGCGTGTTCTGTGTGTATTTTCCGGCGGGTGTTCGCCACCCGAGGACACGCAGCCAAAAATGGGGTGAAATGGCACGTGTTCAGTGGACACATCCGCTGAGATGATAGGTCTCCAGCCATAAAAACCTGAGCTCATGATGTCCAACACCTGAAACCATGTAGGTCCAGCACCCAAAAACGGAAAACGGCCCAGCTGAAGGAAGAATGATGACTTGCCATTGCCTCCAGCCCTTCTCCACGATCATTGTCTGCAACAGGGATTCCAATGTTTCGAATCGTTTCGATGTCTTTGTTGGATGACTATGACAAACCCTCCTACCTAGCTACACCAGGCGAAAAGTTGGCAAAAAGATGGACAAAGGGGTGCTCCATGGTGCTCCTGTATCTTCCTGACTTCGAGCGAAACTCGAAATTGACTTCGAAAGAACATGCAAACCATGGGCTTCAACCTTCCGCCCAAGTACTCAAGGGGGGGGATATGGCTTGACCTCTGCGGCTGACTTGTCAGCCGCCTCGGACCCGTGCGTCACATGTTTGCCCTCCTTTCGGAAGCGGCGGGACGACAAATGCATGGAATCCCACTAAGGGGATGGACCTGGTCTAGACCAGTCGACCGTGGCCAGGTTCCCACTGGTGCTTTCCTGAGGTGAGAAG